GTCCCCTTTTCCTTTTGTTCATATTGTCCAGAAGTACCGAAGAGAGTACAACACGTCAAATAATACAAGTCTTCCAAATATGGGTGGAAGGTCTAATAACTCTAGACCCCGTACGGCACCAGTCTCTTCTCCACCGAAAGAGAACAAGCATGAGCATGGTGCGAGAAATGAGTTGCGTATGGTTGAAGAAGCGAACGCTGTAAATGTCGAGAAAGAGGTGGAACAACAAGTGAACGATTGCACAGATGTACATGACGATACAGTATCTACCAATGAAACAGGTAACATGGAACTGATTAGCAAATTACGACACCCTTTCTTCTTTCATAAGCTTATACATAAATTGCTCAAAGAAAGAAAATTTCGCAAATAAGATGAAGATTAATAGAAATATGAATTAAGTCACGCAGAGTAGGCATTAGATAATAACCTCRTGCCTAAAGCAGCCAAAATTACYAAATATGGCAATTACTTTCTAAATATGGCAATTATACGTCATTCAAGGAAATAAGTAATGTAAAATTTATGCATTTTTCGTTTTCACATGTACTGGTCGTAAATAAAGCTGAGGGGAAGAGAAACTCATCAGTGAAAACTAATRYAAAACCAATCWTGGCRGAAGAGCYCGCAGTAAACAATCGCAAAGATGAAACCAAGAAAGAAAGGTAAGACCGCAGCAAAAGATGTACAAACTTATAGCTCGATATATAGTTACAAATTGAACTAACAGTGAACTTTCATTCAGGCCACAGACAAGCAAGCCTTACGYAATACGTCATCTCGACYTAGTCATCTCAACTGCSCATGACCAAAAAGCAGAYACCGAAACACCGAAAACAAATGACAATATATCACRTGACCACTCAACTCCAYCTGATGAGCCCGCAATTCATAGCTATTTCGATGTAACCGAGCATGCATATAGACCTCGAAAGCCCGCTCAGACGTTTGAGAGTTGGCTTGAAAAGAAAAGAAATCAAGGTCAGCTGCGACCAATGACAGCGCATGCGCCTGAGAGGAGTAAAATGGGTAAAAGCATCGACCCGGATGTCTTCAAAAACTGGCTTAATAAAAAAAGACGGAATAGAAGTTATTCTGAATCCAGCAGCACAAGCACAAAGAAAACCTATATTAGYTCTGGYATGACWTTTGAAAGGTGGCTAGAAGAAAAAAAGAAAATGGYRAGCAAAGAGAATGAATGTAGCTTGACGGAGTCGCCCGAGAATGGTCGACGCGCGCGCGCGGTTTTGGCGGGAAAAACCTACGAGGATTGGCTAAAAGAGAAAATGAGACAAGTTCAATCKACCAACATAAAYGACGAAGAAAACAARAAAGACGGGCCAAAAAGYGGGAAAACTTTCGAAATGTGGCTCTTGGAGAAGCAAAATCAGAAGCAGATCGAAATAATTCACAAGGCAACCGAAGAAAAAGAGAAACAAAGACAATTGGAACTAGAGCAATACCAAAAATACCTGAACCCAAACTACAGGACGTTTGAAGAATGGCTCGCTATCAAAAAGCAAGAGCATTTGCTAGAGCGAGAGCGAGTCGCTGAATCAAAACTTAAYGARCCAAGCAGTGAAGAGAAAAAGCAAGATGCCGACTTGGTATTTGGTATTTGGTTGACWATGAAGTTTGTCRARGAAATRAAGGAGGAAGAAGAGAAATATGAAGAAATGAGAGAAAAGTGGGAGAGAAAAGAGAAGCAAAGAGCGGCTCTCAGGCGAGCTATCAACATGAATAGGCTGATGAGAAAGCAACAAAAAAATCGCGGCGAATTTAACGAAAGTTGTAAAACTCTAAGTCTTTCATGGAGTTAATTATGACGATGAAATATTATAAGGTTGTCATATTGTAAACTTGAACGCCAAAATCTCAAAGAGACTTTTAAACAGTTTGCGATAAAATTCGAACTGTTTTCTTAGAAGAGAAAGCTATCCACTAAGTGGAAAACACACACTATATAAAATATATAAAATACACAAGTATAAACAGTTCAGAATAAAGCTTATTTTTTATGATAATCATTGTTAATAATTGTTGCTCATATATGCAAAACTTACTTGCAAAACTTACAAAATTCTCAAAATAAGCGGGAAAAAAATTAAACAAAATTTGCCGCTGTATTCTAAATTAAAATCTTCAGAAAATCGCAATAAATATTTACGACTGACATGTTTTTAATTCTATAAATTGGCATCCTGCGCCCTTGATTTCCAATAATTTTATGTTCGCTGAATAATTAAAAAGGCAAAGTTTGGTATTCTTCGTTTCGTGGTTTTAGTATAAAAGTTTCCACGTTAAAATCTGGCATATTTACAAGTTCGGGTGCTATCAACCCCACACACCTACAAAGACCAGGCGAAATTTTTTACAGCGTCATACGTTACCAGTAATATGCCTTCCATATCACTCTTACCAAATCTTGTGTGTAATGTCGCAATGAAATATTTCTTTCCTCTGYTCCACTCCTTATCGTTATCACATCGTAGGACCAGGTTTGTTTTTCAATTTGTCTTTTTTGCCAGTTTTGTCASCAGCAGAGAATACTTGCTGATTGTGTTTGATGCGAGGGTTGTGCTCGTAWGTYGGTTCAAGKGGAGCAGTCCCTAAAGCTTTGGCTCTTTGTCGCTTCATTTTTTCGTGGTGTTTGACGTAAGCGCTTTCTTGAGCGTTCTTGTAGCCTACAAAAAGTAAGAAGATTCAAAGAGAAACAATGAGATCAAGCTTAAAAGATAAYGATAATAATGATGATAATGATAATGATAATCGTAATCATAATGAAAATGACAATTATAATAAAACAGTTGAGTAAAGGAATTGTAGAAAGAGTGTTTAAGGTTTAACAGAAAAAAGAAGATGGGAAAGAAGGAAGGAAGGGAAGATGGAGGGAGGGAAGGGAGTGAGAGCAAAAAAATAGAAAATGGAAAAATCAAAATACAATWACTGAAAAACATGAAAGAAAGAAAGTTAAAGAAAGCATTACCCGCTTTCATGTTTTCAAAGAAGCCTCCCTGTGGAGTTTGATTCTCGTGGACTTTCATGTCAGGAATATCAAAGTAYTGTCGCACTGATTTGAGATTCAATATGGAAATTTGTCCCAAWGAGAAAAGATTGGAGGTAATCCAGTAAGTAAATATTGCCTGAAAAACAAATGATTTGGATTAAAAAYCTTTTCATTAAATACTGTGAGATCTTTTCTTCCACCACCTTTATCATCAAATCTTAATTTCAAATTGATCCAGCAAACTCTATTAAATTAAAAAATAATAATTTAATTTTGTATTGTGACATTTTACTCCTTTTCACAATACTGTATCTGTATTTGTATATATGACTGTAATCCAAGGGCTTGTAATCTACTAAATATTACATAAATAGTAATAGCTTACCGTTGGAAAATATGCAGTCAGTGGAATCATGACAACACTCATGATTCGCATGACACTTTTCATATTTTGCATCTGTGGATTTTGTATGCCTGCCTCACTTCCACGCTGGAAAAAAACAATACACACCAAAATATAAGTCACTGAAMGTCCACTAGGGAAGGAACAATCACTCCTTCAACACTTATTAAGAGGGGAGCTTAGTTAACACTAAAAATAAAATGTATTTCATAAGTTATTTATCCTTATGGAATTGCTTATGTTTTTCAAAGTGTGTCTGTTTTTTTTAGTAAATTCTTTGGTTTCATTTGAGCTGGGTTTCATTTTGTTTATAGAGGTATTTATTTAGGCAACAGACCACCGTCATAAGGATTTATAATGTAATTTAGGAATATCTGTTGAATTTACCTCTATTGTAGCTAACATTGTAAAACTGCACAGAACTGGTAGGACAAAATAAGGGTCAGCTGCAGTGAGGTCAGTAAACCACAATAAGCCACCTGACTGGAAGGATTCCACTGGTAGATTTGCCATCCGCCGAAGACCAACGAAGAATGAGATGAACAAGGGCATTTGTACAAGAGGTGCTAAAATACTCTAAAGTAAGATAAAGAATGAAATAGAATCATTGTACAAGAGGTGCTACAATACTCTAAAGTAAGATCAAGAATGAAATAGAATCAGAGCAGATCAAATCAAATGTGCAATACAAAATACAAATAAATGAATTGAGAAATGGCAAAATGAAATGGAAAATGAATAAATGAAACAAGAGTATCAATGAAAAAGGTATGTACAGTCAACTCTCGCATTACAGACACCC